TTTTATAATAATTACAGGTAAAGATGGTTGATATCCCCATTCTTGCCTGCTCACAATACATTATCTACATAGCAAACAAGATGCTCTTTGAGAAAGCTTACTGTATCTTTCCCATTGGTTTCCATATCTTCTACTGAAATTATTCTTACTTTTTTAAAGAAAGAAAAGAAAAAAAAATCGACTTCTCAGGGTTACAGAAGTATGAGGCTGGCTACATTCCGCCTCTTCAGTCAACTCTTCCTTGATTTCTACTTTCAGTACATAACTAGGTTGTCATGATATAGAAATTTAGCTAGTATCTTAAGCTCACTCTGATGTTGTTCTCCATCTTGGGGCCTATAGACTTTCTCACCTTTTGGTTATAACCTTTAGCCATATCCTCTTTTCTTGTTACGCTTCATTTAGTCGTCAGTTTAAATATGTCCTTCTTTAGGAACAAATCTTTTTTTTTTTTTTTTGAGTTGGCTTCTCACACCATCACCCAGGCTAAAGTGCAGTGGCATGCTCACCGCCACCCCAGCGTCAACCTCCTGGGCTCAGGCAATCCTTTTGCTTCAGTCTTCCAATTAACTGGAGCGCTATCACGCCCAGTTAAGTTTTTGATTTATTGTAGAAATGAGGTCTCACCAAGTTACCCAGGGTAGTCTCGAACCCATTGACTCAGGCAATTCTCTCACCTTGGCCTCCCAAAGTGTTTGGATTATAGGAGTGAGCCACCATTCTTGGGTAATTTTTTGATTTATTGTAGAGATGAGATTTTGCCAAGTTGCCCAAGGTGGTCTCAAACCCGTGGACTCAGGCAATCTTCTCACCATGGTCTCCCAAAGTGCTGGGATTACAGGTTTGAGTCACTGTGCCCTGCCAGGAGCAAATCTTAACTCTCCATTCCAGGACACAAATGTCTCTTACATGCCTTTGTTGAACAGTATGTTTATTCTTTGTTTCATTTTGGTGTGTGCTTATTTTATCATACTGGATATCTTTGAGGGCAGGAAATGTGACCCGACTCCACTTGTCATGAGATTATCATTTGCCATAGAAACTGACAAGTATAGTCTTTAAAAGCACACTGATTGAATGAATAAGTGAGTTCCAATTTTGTGCCAGAACCTATGCTAAACTTGTTTTAATAAACCATTTCATTCATGTAGAAATTAAAGGAAAATATTTACTACTCATCATTTAAACCTATTATTACACAGAATTTGTTTAAGATCTCTTTTTAAGAACTAAAACATTACACATACAGTCTTTGCTTTCCAACCGATCCCATTTTTTTCTACTTCTACCCAAAGTTGATCACTCTTCTAAATTTATTGTGCATCTTTAGTAACTAAGCATTTTAATTATAGTAAATATTTAGGTAGTTTTATATATATCTGTGTTCACTAACTATAGCTATATATACATATATATATATATATATATACACACACACACATATGTATATAAACTAAAATTAATGTGAAAATTTCTGCATGTATTATGCACCACTAAATGTCTATATATTTCTCTACATATAGTTTTCTATATATGCCAAGACTATGGTTTTATTTAGATATAAATTTCCTAATTATTTTCATACATATTTGTTTTTCTATTGTTTCATTTTATCTAACATTTTTTGGTTAAGATGTTATTAAAAGCCGGGCTTGGTGGCTCAACCTGTAATCCCGCGCCTTTGGGAGGCTGAGGTGAGTGGATTGCCTGAGCCCGCGGGTTCAAGAC